TAGGCTTGTAAGGTGGTACAGTCTAATGTAAATACAAGCGCAAAGAGCAAACAAATGGAAAACTCTTTCCAACTGCTGCAGCGGCAAAGTGTAAAATCTGGCAGCGACATACAATTCAGCTGGCAACGCCACTTAACACCTCAAAGGTTCGAATGTGCAAGGTGAACACTGAACGCGGAACGCGGAACGCTGAACGCTGTTTGGCAGCGCTGTCAACTATATATCTCTCACTCACTCTGTCGGTTGTTACTCGTACCACATAATGAAAAACGGAAACGGAAATTACGTATTGTCTTCCGCGCCGGTGTTGGCATACCAAATCTAAGCGACATACACACAAGCACACTTTCATTTGTGATTATTATTTGTGGTTATTTCTTTGTTTTGCTTGTCACTTGCCGTTGATTGTTTATTCGCCGCCGCAAATGTTTACTATTGCGGTTTTCGTATTTGTGGTGTTCGTGCTTGTTATTTTTGTTGTCTGTAGGTGTGTGTGTGTGTGTGTGTGTATGTCGCTGATGAGCTGCCAAACAATTTTTCACATTCTTTGCTGTCAATGTGGCTTCAGCAGTCGGCAACATTTTCACTACCGATTTTCTTCTCCGATTCGCCTCAAGTTTGCTTGCCAACATGGTTTGGCTGGATACAGCTATTGGGCTGCCAACTGCTCATTAGACGCATTGCCACCTTATGTATGTACAAGTACAAATACATACATATAAGTTATGTTTTATATTCTACTGCTAATGTTTGCTTTAGCTTGTAATAGGAAGCTGCGAATGAAATGCTGCGAGATGTTGGTGATTACTTGTGTGTTTCGAAATTATTTGACATTTCCGTTGCCTAATTTTAGCTGCGCTGAATGCTTTTATTGCGAAATAACGTATCATAGTTACGATAGGTGGCTTATAAATGATTTCTACTGCTCCTAATGAGTTGAGGTTTCTTATGGCCTAATTTTTGTATTATTCCAACTAGTAGTGTAGGAGTTATGGAGAAATATCTAAAAATAAGGGACAGACAGCGTTTACATGTAAGGCGTAGCCGTTTTCTAGGCAAATATCTATAAACATGCCACGACCAACCCACGAAGAAACTTGGTTCTGCTTTTAGGCGAAGTGCTTTTAAAACATAAAAAAAAAAAAACAATTTCTAAAGGCTGGTTTTCACTATGTCAAATTCAGTGGCATTTGTCGTCAAATAAGTGAAAACGCATTGTCAAATGGGATCAAAAAGCGGTTTATCGACTGATTTCGATCATGATGGGTCTTAAGTCGCGTACATGCGCTGCTAAATCGGCTATCTGTCAGCTTTTGGCCCATAATATTATCGGTAAAGGTATAGATAAAGGAGATAAAGTTGTGTCAAAATATGTTGCCAAATTTTGGCGTCAAAATATGACATAGTGAAAACTAGTCTTAACTCATCGTGAGACAGATGATCCATAACGTGGAATCAGTAGCCTACTTTTACGCGTCTAACTATAAACATGCCACGGTCAGCCATAATAGAGAAACTTTATATTCTTAGTCTACTTTTAGGCGAACTGAAAAATGCTAAATCTGTTGGCAAATAGATTTGATTTTAAAAGCCGTTTGGGGCATTGAAAGCCTTTTGCTGAGAGAATATTAAGATGCCACTGAGATGTGGCCATTTCCATTCTGACGTGGTGTGACATTTGTATGACAAAATGTTAAAAGATAAAATGAGAGGCAAATTTTTAAAAAGGGCATAGTAATTAAATAGCCTTTTATTCAGTAAATAAATTACAACTGATAGTAGAGATTTAAAGATATAAGCAAACATATGCGCTGGCGTGATGTTACAGAAGTGGGTTTTGACTTGGGTTTCAAAATTGCCAAACTCTGCGAATTAGAATTTGAATATTTGAAATTTGTACGGTTAAGGTTAGTTAGTTTTCCAAATTTTTAAAAGAAAAAATTGTTCCTGTTTTTTTTTTTTTTATCAGACGTGATGTGTGATATTATGTTCCCTATAGGGAACCACACGAACTATAAATGCACTATAAGTTCACTATTTTTGAACTAGGGGTAACTACGCCTCGACTACTTTACATACGTTCCTTTTAACTGGTCCAAAAAATTTTTTTCCCGAGGTAGGGTTTGGGACACCTTCCAAATTTTTTCCTCTTGCCGAAAGAGGTGCTGGGATCAAACTTAACGTTTCTAAGTATAAAATTAGTGGATGGTCATGATGCTCATATTTTACCCTAGAAGTAGTGTGTGCATATGTATAATAATTAAACAATTGGTTAAGCAAAAAAAATATCACAAGCTTCAGTTGTCATGACAACAGTGGCTTCTTATAAAAATCGCCAATATTTTTGCTAGTTTCACAGCGATCCAGTAGCGCATTTCAAAGTCATTGAGCACCCTCTATTGGTTACAGTAAAAAGCTAAAAACTCGTTAAAAAGTAAAAAATAATTTATTGAAATACAGATTTCATTTAAGAGTGCCCTAACTAGATTTAATTAAACTTTTAAACCCAACCTGAGATAGGATTAGAGTAGATGACATTAAAATTAATTTTACCGGAAAACAAAGCTTTTAGCTTTAAATTAAGGCTAAGTCGAAGGTTCTATCACCTTATCTCTCGTTGTTAAAGCTTATGAAATATTGCAAAAAACGCAATTTTTTGACACTCTCACCTTGTTTTTTCGCAAAACTTTATTTTTACGGATTCGTAATCAGCACAAAAAAGTCTACCCAAAACAGCTTTCACATTTGCCGCACCAAAATCAATGTTGCCCTGTGTAATGATTACAATAATATAATTTAGACCTAAAGTTTACAGTTTCGTTCGAATTAGAGCTAAGGTACATACATATGTATGACGTGAAACTGAAACGAAAACTATGGTAATTGCTTAAAGCATACATCTATGCCTGCAAATACAGCTCGGCCAGAATCAGCTCGGTCCCATTCCCATGAAGTTACCGAAACGACTCAGACCTCTTTCTAGCCAAGGCCAGTCAATCCAAAAACCATTAAAAATTTTCGATACTAGAAGGAAAGAAAGGCCCGAAAAATTTCCAATTTTACCTGGTCATAGATAATACGGAGAACACCCTTACCTTTTTTAACCTTTTAAGTGACCTAGTACAGGTCGTAGGGCTGGTCGAGTAATTCACTGTGTTTAACAATTTTCTAACACCCTCATGTCTCAACTTATTCTTAAAAAAAAAAAACATTTTTACAAGACTTGCACACTAAACCATTTTCAGCTCGGTAATTTTTTACCCAATTTTAGGTTTTTATATGAATTTGGAAAGAAGAATATTTGTACTATTTACGAAGTGAAGACATTGTAAATATGTTGAAAATTTTTGGAATAAATCTGAAATGTACACCAATTTTTATCATTTTTTCCACTTCTACAACATTTTATGCCAAAATTTCAAAATAAAATAGTCCATTTTAGTTATTACTTCAAAATAATGTTTGATTCCGACTAGGTACAATTTTAAAACATCAATAGAAAATTTTTTTAAGATATGAATTTTCTAAAAATTTCTTCCAAAACTACTTCCATGTAATTTCAGAGAAAATTTTAATCAGTTGAATTGGATTCACTTTGAGGTTTCAATAATTCGTATGGAAAAATTTCAAATTGTCTCAATAAAAAATGGCATATCTTCAAAATTTGTTTAATAATTTTAATGAAGGGTACCTTATATTACTCGTAATTAAACACTCTTTCCGAAGTAAAAACTAAAAGATTTTATTTTCTTATGAAATTTTGGCAAAAACTGTCTTAGAATTGGAAAAAAAAAATAAAAATTAGTTCAAATTTCAGACAAAAAATTTTCCACATATTTACAATGTGCTCAAAAAATTTATTATTTCTTTAAATAGTACAAGTATTCTTCTATCTAAAGCCATATTTTAAATAGCAAGCAATGCGAAAATTATTATTTTAAGAATAAGTGGAAAATTTGAGGGCGTTAGAAAAATTTTGAAAACTGTTTCGTGAATTAATCGGTCAGCTCTACGACCTGTGCTGGATCACTTAAAAAGTTTGTGCAATTTTTTTTTTTTTTTGTAACACCGTGTAATTGGCAAAGGGGGGTAACTTTTCATTACGAAAAATAACACTCCCAATTTTCTGGTTTTTCCTCTCATAAGAAAAAAAATTATAAATCAAAAAAAATACGAGTTTCGTTAATTACGAAAACCTACCATAAAAAAAATTAAAATATTTTTTTTTTTAGGAGTTGAGTCATAAAGAATTTTCGAAATTAAAGTCCACATTTCACAGCACCTTTTTGGGTGCCATGGCTAGGGAAGTATTCATTTCGGCCTATGTTCACGTTTGCATGCATTTTGCGATAACCTAACACTAGAGAGAGAATGAAAAAATACTAGACAAATAGACCAAAATGATCGAAAGCACGCAGCAGCATAGCTCAAAAGAAAGAGGACGAAAGTAAACCAAAGCGCAGCAGAGTCACAAATCACTTAGCCTAACTGCTTCAAACAGTTTTACCAAAGCTGTATCAAGGTTTTTTTTTCGCAGAAATTTAACGCAGCACGCTTTTGAGCGCAGGGCAGCTACAGCTATCGTTGAGTGCCTATCTATTGGCGCCTAACAGCTTGATTTACAAACATCAACGAGGTATTTTTTTTTTTTTGCCTCCACATACTTTTTACGTTACGCCAATTGATTTTGAAGCAATTAGTCTGATCCCCTTACGTAAGTAATTAAAAGCTTATGCGTATAGGTACAAGATTAATTTCCATCTTTGCTTAGCACTTAATACTCGTTGCTTAGCTAGTACTTAACACATACAAGCAAATAATTCATGGCCAAAGCCGCAATTATGCCAACTATGCCTCCGATAATCTCATTATTTATTATATTAATTTGTGACTGTACGAACTTAGTGGGCGTAACCATATATTAATTATTTTTTTAGTAGGTAAATAGATATGTATGTATGTGTGCATAAATGTATGTAAATAGCACAGTGTGTACTTACATCAAATTAACCAAAATCGCCAAACCCGATGTAATCAGCATAATCTTTGCGTCCACTTCAAAATCGCGATTAATCAAACGTTGCACGGCCAACCAGACGAGTATTGCGGTAATGACCCAAATCATCACAACGGAGGCCATGGCGCCGATAACTTCAGCGCGATACCAGCCGAAGGACATGCTGTTGGGTAGAGAGAAAAAGTAAGAAACGAATGAGTAAATGGGTAATAAGGCAGCGTAAGTTTGAACGTGCTGCGGATGAGAAATGAGAAAGTGTATTTAGTGAGGAAATTAAATTCGTTAAGGTAATCGGTTTGGCTTGCAAATTTTGGCACGCAAGAAAGTTAGCACCAAATTTATATGAATACTAGGGTGTTTCAGAAAAAAAAATAAAAAATTCTTGGAACCATGCTCAAAAGTTTCGTTTAGACGCTAAAATAAGTCTCAGAAAATATGAGTTTTTAATATTAATATTAAGAATGTCTGCACCGCACTTTTCGATTTCCCATAAGAATAACAGAGGATTTTTTTTTTTTGCAAAGGTCTTGGCGTATTTTTTTAGAGAATTGAGCGCTCTACAAAATAGGTCTGAATTCATTTTTCGATAAGTCAACTTGGTCAAAAATTATTCGAAGTCATAGTCTTAGTATTAAGGGCTCATATTTTCTGAGACTTATTTTAGGACCTAAACGAAACTTTTGAGCATGATTCCGAGGAAAACAAAAATAAAAACGAATTTTGTGAATCACCCTAATGAATACAATAAAAGCTGCAGTGATGCTTCAGGCTATTAGGCCGGCTGCGGGTACTTGAGCAAGGATTAAAAAAAAATCGGATAAGCAGATATGATATTTATATATCCCTTCTTTCGAATTTAAATAAAAATAAATAAATAAAGTATGCATGGTCATAGAGGTGGATGCTATTATGCAAGCTCTAGATACCGGACAACCGCAAGTTATCTTGGATCTGGATTATCACGATGAGAGCTCATCTTTTTCCTATAATTTTTACAATCAAAAATGAGTTCTAGTTTAAGAATTACGAGGAGGAATTATCAATCTCGGACTAGGGCTGTGAATCGCTATCTCCAATGGAGCAATTATGTGCGGACAGCGAGGCCCGGTAGTGTTAACTTCGGAGTGGTCCGATCTAGTATCCGAAATCTGTTTGGACTCCGAAAGTGACAACACGTTAATCCCCAGCTGATCAGTGTGCTCTTCGGTGCCGAAGGCCTAACCGAAGTCGGCACTTTGGTGAAGATAGTCAACATTGACCCCTTAACGGTTTTAAAACTTCATCTTCTAAGAAAGGTTGTGATAGGTAATACCGTATGCCATGAAGGTCCAGAATTTGTGAGATGTCTGCCTCGAGCAGAGTAAACTAGGTTAGGTTAGGTTAAGCGGGCAGCTCTGAAAAGAGTGCACTCGGATGCCACAAAGACACATTACGATGCCCAGGCGGTGTCCCCATGCCTATCCCTAAAAGTCTTGGAAGCATTTTGATTCTCTAGGTAATCCTAGATGTCCTTCCAGTAGAGCTTTCCTTAAAATATCCAGGCTCCCGAAGTGGTGATCCCGAAGAAATTTGAATCGTTTACCTCGAAGTGCTGGGCACACCCAGAGGAAGTGCTTGACGGATTGTGTCTCCTCCTTACCACTGAACTTCTGCAGAAATCGTTCTACGGGGCTCCAAACATGGGTCGTTTCCTCAAGTCCTATCTTATATCCCTTTCTAACACATTCGTCCGCTCCTCATTTCCCGGAACATCACTATGTCCCGGGACTCGATAAAGATTGATAACGTGTTGCTGTAGAGCTTGTAGGGATCTTCGGCATTCCTTGGCGCATATCGAGTAAGTCTTTGCCGACCCTACGGCTTTGATGACAGCTTGACTTTCAACAACGAAGGTAAGTTTAGATGGAGCTAGGTCGATCAACCTCACCCTCAACCTGACGATTGCATACACATATCTCAGCCTGGAAAAACACTGTCGTGATCTCGAAGTGTATAAGAGTCTCTCAGAGATAACTCCTGAGAGAAAACGCCAGATCATGTTTCGATGTCCATTTTGCAGCTGTCCTTGAAAATGGGTATTTCGTCATCTCTGAGAGTAATATTAAATTCCCTGTCACTTCTGTTACGAAACCGGATACCGGCATTTCGATCTAAGTCAGTTTCCGTGACCTAATAAACAGAGCTACTGTACTCCACACCCACTATATCAAAAATAGTGGCGTGGCACTTGCCCTGGATCATAGAGCGCTCTTAGCTGCGGTACTTTTGACGTATAGGTCAATGAGTGGAATATCGAGAAGTGTCTCTAGCGCCGCCTGTGGCATTGAGCAGACCGTCCCCTAGTACATATTTAAGGATTGATTGTCGTTGGACATTTTCCAAGTTGAATGTCAACCGCTCTCCACCATACCAATGCGCCATAGGTGAGATTGGGTCTAACTGCCTCCGTATAAATCCAGTGTATTATCTGCGGTCGTAGCCTCTATTCTTTTCCAGCTTTACAAGAGTACAGCGCGATGAGAGCCTTTTCTCTCCGCTCTTCGGTGTTTCCTTTGCAAATCAATTGGTGAATAGAACAAGTTCAGTTTTGGAGGGGTTAACCCTTAGATCGTTTGCAGATCGTTAATGGTCGATTCGAATTTTCCCACGACCACAATGACTAAGTCATCTGCATACGGGTACGATCTTAGTGGCTTTTGATGTACGGAGTAGAAATTCATTTAGCACTAGGTTCCACAACAAGGATGATGCCGTGAATATCCGCCAGGAGGGAGAAAACGATGAAACCCAGCATCTCTTTGCATACAAAGAGCGCAACCGAGGCTTTTTTTGCCATAACCTCCACGTTGAACCCCAGCAGTTGGTTATCCCATAACGAGTATACTTGCTCCCATGGGCTAAGGTCTAGACTAGTCCGGGTTCTTAGTATAGAGTACAAGATCCGTTTATTCCGCATTAATGCTGAGCCCTACTTTGGTTGCCCAATTTTATTTGCCAATTAGTGCTGGGCTTATAAGTGAGCTAAGCGTGGACAGAGCCTTCACACTGACTATGACGTAGACTTCATTCGGGAAAACTGTGAGTGCAGCAGGAATTTCTTCCATTTTATTGAGCTTTTTTTTGACCACCAGCGACCAAAATAGTAGCGACATTTCGGCCTTCTGTGGTGTAAATCTGTAGATCCCTGCCGTCTATTTATGCTTTAAGTTAAGTGACAGTTTGGTTATTTTACTTTCGTTTATTTAAGGTTTATAACTTTTAAAAATAAAAGCGTAGCACATAACATAACCAGCACTACACATTTTGAACTTTTTACAAAATTAAAAAAAAAAATCCACAAACTTTAACAATCACACTCGAAAAGTTTTACACTTTTTACTTAAAAAAATTTTTTGACAAACTTAAGGTATGCAAATGCAAATTTTAAAACGCTAGAAAATCGCGTTAATTTTTAATAATTCGTTTACTAACGGTGTTAGGCATACATACAAAATAATTGTCGAACATATTTTATATGGGAGAAAACGATTAACCCCGTCAGCCAAGAAAAAAATATTAAAAATTAGTGCAATTTTTTAGCGTCTTGAAATTTACACTTTAATCAACTCCAATTAAACGGGATACAAAACTTCGTACCTAAAATTTTTCCAAAAATGTTAAATAAAAAGTTTTACAATTTTTCGAGCTTCTCTTTTCTTTGTATTGAGATCCTCAAAAGATCTTTGCAAAGGATCTTTGTAGTGGACAATTTCGTTAGGCGCAGTCCTTAGGTTCATTACCATATGCAATCTAATTTCAACTATATATATACACTGCCGCAACAAAGTATTGGCACAGCAAATTTTTCACAATATATGCAACAATTTTCATTCTAATATTTTTCGGGTAATTTCGTATGAAAATATGGTTCATTCTACAACAAAAAACATAAAAATATAATTCCTAAACTTTGTGCAAAACTCGCGAAAATTCAGCAAATTTTCATGAAAATTTTCAACCTTTTAATCAGATTTTTTAGAATTTTTTTGTAGCCCAGTCAATTTTATTATAATAAAGTGCAAGCTTTAAGTAGCTAGGAACTACCGTTGAAGAATGCAAAACACCTTCAACAAAAAAAAAATCTCAAAAATCAACGCGCTTTTTGACTAACTCCGTACTTGCATTTTTTTTACTAGAATTTAATGGGCTGCAAAACTGCATACTCAAAAAATTTAAAAAAATCTGATTGAAAAGTTGAAAATTTTGATAAAAATGTGCTGAATTTTCGCGAATTTTGCACAAAGATTAGGAACGATATTTTTATGTTTTTTTGTTGTTGAATGAACCATATTTTGATATAAAATTGGCGGAAAAATATTAGAATAAAAACTGCTGCATATATTGCGAAAAATTTGCTTGCCAATACTTTGTTCCGGCAGTGTATATATTTAGAGACTCCAGGGCTTGGCGTACATCTTAACTGCGAAGAAGAGTACAATCTGCCTGCCATACTTATTCGAATCCATTTCAATTGCTTAATTACAAGAAAGCAACTTCAAGAAAAAAAAAAACATTAAGTATAAAAAAAATCAGTTCAAACTGGAAAAGAAATAAAATATTAGCACAAGTTTTGCTTATACTTTTCAACTCACATCCACAGTTGCAGCCGGGACCAAATTATAGCAGTTGCAGCGGTGGAAGCAGTTGTGCGGCGGGCTGGCAGGAAGAATTCAGCGCAAAGTGCCTTTGAATATTTTATGAAAATGAGATTGGTTTTTGGGCTACTCGTACTCCACCGAGCCTTGCAGCAGCAGCAGGCAAGCGACTAACAGCCAATACTGGCTCGCAATCAGCACATCAGGCTCCTCTTTCCCCACCCATATTCATTCACTCATTCATTCCTACACTGACTCACTGGCACTCAAACATAGACGTTTTGATGTGGCTGGGTTTACTACTACAGCTTACACTGTTTGCATGCTGCGAGCTGCGAGCTGCGAGCTGCGAGCTGTTTTTTGTATGCCTTTGCAGTGTAAATGTTGTTGTTACTTCTTTTATTTGCCTTGTTTTGTTTGGTCTGATTATTTTTGTGGTTTTCAGCCGTCAAGCAGTCACAACCAACATCAGACGAAATAAAGTTGAATTGAGTTGAGTAATTTTTGTTGCGCTTTGTTTTATTACAAG